ATGTTTATCAGCAAAAGGAACAACTTGATTTTGCTCAGGGTCCTTCTGGGTTCAAAGAGGTTGGTTTGTTGAGCTAAAACCAAAGGTGTTGCCCTGGGCTGCAGCCCAAAATGTGCTTCCCAGGTCTTTCCTGGGTCTGTTGAAGTGATTTGAACAGCTGTTCTGTTGAAAAGATTGTCAGTTCTTTGTCAGAATGCTGCTGGCAGTTTGGGGTTTGTAACATAAACCAGGACTGCAGCCAAGGGTGTTTATCTAAGACCAGAATCAATACACTTTTTAGTGAGAGAAACCTTTTTCCCTGACTGCTTTGCAGCTTAAGCCAGAGACTCAGAGGATGGTGAAGGTTGGAAGGGACCTGAAAGATCATCCAGATCCAACCTCCCTGCATGGGCATTGACACCTCCCACCAGCCCAAGCTGCTCCAAGCCCCATCCAACCTGCCCTTCAATACTGCCAGGGATGGGGCAGCCTGTTGTGCCCCTGTGCTGGTGCCAAAGTAAAACTAGGATGAACAGGCACAAGTATTTATGTGTATATATACATATACATATATTAAAAAATGTGACCCAGTGCCATTCTCCCCAGGCCACCAGCTCCTGGTGTGCTGACCAGTCAACCCTCTGTTCCCCTCAGCCAGCAGGGTATAAAATAACCACCCTTGGGGTCTTTTCTGCCATAGAACAAGCAGTCACCTGTACAGCAAAAGTCTTTTATTAAAAATCACAGCACACAGATCCTTTGGCCAACACAGGCACGCACAAGAGGACATAAATACACCTGCAATACACTAACACAGAGTTTGCATGGTCACAGACAGCTTCAGGTTTCCAGCAGTTTCTTCCCTGCATAAATGCTGAGCAAATCAACCCTGTGCCACACCCTGCTCCCAAGTGGTCGTGTTGTGTGGCTGCAAAAATATAAATACATGTGCAATTTCCTTCACTTGTTGAAAAGAGACTCAGCCCAGGATCCCACACCCCCTTGGGTTCATAAAGGCACACTGAGGATGTAGCATCCTGCAGCTTCAGGAGGGACAGGCTGACCAAGGTTCCAAGTTTTACTAGACAGGAGCTAAATAGTCTGTGTTAGAAAGTCAAGACTGGCAGAAGATGTTGGCAGGAAGCAGTTCCAGGTCCAAGGCAGAAGCAAATCTCACACAGGTCTGTGTAGCAACAGACTGGGGTCTTGCAGGCAGTGGGTTCTATCTGAAGCACATCACAGGGGAGGTGCTGACAGTTTGCCAGGGCCCCCAGCACCACCACTAGCTCAGCTCTGCTGAGCAGGAACTGAGGGAACTGAGCTCCTGCTCCCCTCCCCTGCAGCTGGGCTCATCATACCTGCAGCTCCAGCACCTCACCCTCATGGGGGTCAGCAGATGGGAAATATGAAGCTCAGTGCTCAAAAAAGAGGCATTTCCAGGACAGAGAAGGTAACCTTTCTCAAAGAGCCTGGCACACAGAAGCTGTATTTGAGCAAACTTCACATGGACAAGGCCAGACCTTCAGGGTTCAGTTACAGCAACAAGCATTTCTGTGATGGATTTGTTCTTTTAAAAAAGTATCTTGAGCTGGCTGCAGGAGTTCTTGGAAGCTGGAGGGCTTCTTAGGTGGAACTGGTGGTTTATTTGATATGGAAATGAATGCTACTTATTTTTACACATTAAAGTCATCAAGTCCTGTTGCACATAAAAAAGGTAACTGGAAAATGAAATCAACTCTCTAGTTGAGTTGATGCCATCATCAGCTTTAAGTATTTCAGTGTCAAGTCTTAGGTATGATCATGGAGAGGATGTGGCATGAACAGTTAATTTCTATGGGTATCTATTAGCTCTGGCAGAATCTTAAATGCCAGATACAAAAAAGAAGATGCATTTTTAGAAATCTAAGTGACAGCTAAAAGCTCAAAGGTGTTACAAACCAACCCAGGGGCAGCCCTGAATGTACATCCACATAAACCTACAGAGCTGACACCCTGATCCCTGGAAAAGCTGAGCTGGTAATTTCCCCCCCATACTAACAATAATACTAAAAAATATCCTTTTTGCTAAGGCCCACAACAAAAATACAGCTGCTCTGAAGACCAAACCCCACTTGTTTCTCAGCAGCACTTAAACATCCTTCTAAATGCTGGAGCTGCTGAAGTTCAGATTCTTCCTCCTGACCTTCAAGACAGACAAATAAGAAACAGGTCAGGAAATATGGAACCTGCTCCTGAGAAGGTAGGAAAGGCAGCCTTTAATTACTACTTTAAAAATATTCAATGAATACACAGTTCAGACTGTGCTTTGTATTTTCCTTTAGAAAAAAAAATAAACTGGGCTTAAATGGATAGAAACTTTTCAGTGTTAAAACTTTTGTGACTCTCAGGTGTTTCTGGATCATCCCAAATAACACCACCAGGTCTTGCACGTGCAAATTCTTTCTAGTAAAATACAACAAAATAATCCTGGGCTAAAAGCTGCCCTGGGTTTTTTTCCACACACCAGGTGGGATGTCTCCCCTCTCCCAGATGATTTGATTTGCTTTTAGAGTAAACAAAAATACTCTACAGACTTCATTTCTCCCACACACACACACTTTGATGGAGTTAAATAGAAACTGAAGTGCTAGAATTGCAGTCAGGGGATGTCTAAGAAAATTAAGAGGACTTACTAAAGCACACAAATCTCTAAGGTCTTCCATGTTGATTGGTATTGTAATTAGAATTTTTCAATTATTAATTATTTGTAGATTAGTGTCTCAGATTGAAACCCAGCATTTCTCTGCCATTAGTTTTGCCAGCAAACAAGAACACTACTTTTTGGGGGGGTTCAGGGATGGGGGTTGTGGGCAGAGAGAGTCAACATGAACCATGTGAACTGCTTCCATGGACACAGCTTCTGGCAGGACTGGATGGACAGAACATCCTGATGAGCTGGGGGGATGTGCAGCAGACTTTTTGAACTGCACTTTAGCTCCCAGCACTTGACCTAATGGCTTGTACACCAAAAAATTCAAGCTCTGCTTGATATGTAGTTCTCACAGATGTTACAGTACCTCCTTAAGCAAATTTCAAGTGACATTTAGCTTATTTTTCCTCTACATATATTCAATAATTATAAATAAATACATTGCAAGCATTAAAACACATATACGCACACAATACTAGTGAACCCCAAATGGCAAATATATATTTAAAAAATATATATATGCTAAAACCAATTTAAGTGTCCTTTAATCTTGTTAAATTCCTGTTCTGGAATAGTTTACCTTGCTGAAAAGCACACCTGCCTGTCAATATAAGCATCTATTAAATGGACATGTGCTAAAATAACTTGGTTTTCAGTATCTTAACTTTGTTTTAGAAGGAAGTCAAAGATTGGTTCAAATTTTCAACACAAAGAATGCTCAGCCTCTGCAGCAGACTTTTCTTAACCCTCAATTTAATCAAAATGAGAGAACAACAACTTCCTTTGGTATCAATTGCTAACTTGCTCATTTAAGAAGCAAACCCACAGATATTGGTACCTTTTAATTTGCAATTTGTCTCTTCCTGCAGGTGGGAACAGACTGAGCTATGGAGAGGAGGGAATGAAATGCTCTGAAAGTGCAGTGTGCAAGTAACAGGTAAAACTGATCACTCAGAATGCCCTGCAGGCATCAGGGTAGAAACTCTGCTCATCCTGCAGGATCTGTGGCTGACAGGTTACTGCAAGTCAGTAGCTTTGTACTAGTACTGGGGAAAAACACCCCCCAATATCTGTTAAGAGCACCTGCCATTCAAACATGTTGGAATCACAGGCTCAGCTCAAGGTCTGAATATCAGTGATGTGGTGGGAATGTGTGTAAATGATCTGTTCTCCAGCCAGGAATGTCCTGTCTGCACCTGATGCTGACAGGCTCTGTCAGGACTAGAATCACCTGCAGTGTAGACAGGGCTAAGGGACATCATCCCAATTACTGACCTGTCACTAGAGCAATTTACTCAGACCTCCGGTGTAATTAGTTTTAGCTCCACTCTGAGGTGCTGTTGGAGGAAAGGAGGGGACCCATAACAGTCTTGCTTCAAGGGTCCAAGTATGACTGCTGGGGAATTTATCCCCTGAGATGCTCCAAAAAAAAACCAGACAAGGTTGTCCTGAAGCAGGAATCTGGGAGATGAGGGAACCTCACTCCTCATGACCACATGCAGAGTTCACTTCCTTAGCTGAGGTTCCCTCATGAGGGTGAACTCCAAAGAGCTGCTTCCACTGATCTCATCCTGGACATGGACATTTTACAGCAGTAACCCAAACAGCATCAGTCTGAAGGCTGCAATGTCTGGCCTTGGAACAGTCAGTGAGGTTACTGTTGAGAGGGAAAGCCTGTCTCCACTGGCAGTGTGGAGGATGAGCTAAGACCACCCATGCCTAACAACTGAAGGCCAGAACCATCTGTCCCCAAAATAGTATCTTCTCTACCTGCCAAATACCAGAACTCATCCACCTTTGTAAATACAGACCCACTCCACAGCTGCCAGGTCATTTATGTACAAGAGGTCCTGAAAACAACACAAAGCTTACAGACAAGTTACCCAGAAGGTCTAAATAATCCCATTCTTGTGAATCTGAGCACTGCCCAAAGAGCAGACTCTGCCCCTCCCCTAAAGGAATGTCTGAGGTAAAACTGTTCTCTTCACTGCTTGTGTCAATAACCAGTCACCTTCTTCCCACTGGCAACAGCAACTGATTTGTGGCCCCTTAAGAATCTTCCAACCTTGCCAAACTGACACTTGTTCCTTGCCAAGAAACACACACCAGATGCTCCTTGCACAATCTCACAGCATTAAAGGCCTGCCTTGAATCCTCAGCAAATAAATCTTAGGGTCTGCTAAAAATCTCTCAGCAACCTCTCATCCAAGCTAGCTCCCCCAAATTTTCTTTACTACCCACATTTAGCAACCTGTTATTTGCCCTCAATCCTGTCATATGAGCCTCTCCATGCTTTTTGACACCTATTTCTTTTTTTAAGCATCTCTACATCATGGCACATCAGCAGCTCTTAGGATTTTCAGGGTTTCATTGATTGTGAATCGTGCAAAAATCTTTTGAGTAATTTTTTTAAGCCCCAGTTACTGGGATTCTCCCCTCCCCAAGTACCAGTAACCAAGCTCACAGTCCAACATTCCACCTTCTTCCTCCCTCAGCCTTTCAGGGGATGCCATCCTTCCTTTGGCAGCACTGTGAGGGAGGCACTCCCCAGTCATACATGTAGGAAAGCCTGAGCTTCACCTCCTCCTTACAGAGCTTTCCCTCTTTAGCCAGGGTCTGGTGCTTTTCCAGCATGTCCTCGATGCTCTGCTTATGAGTTACTATGTACTTATTGTTGCAACCCCGTGACTTGTACTCGGTGTCGAAGCGAGGGTCGTGCACCCTCTTCACATCGATGGGAGCCAGCCAGACCCCCAGGGACACATCCTCGCTCTGCCACATGTTCAGGTAGTCCCTGCTGAGCCGCAAATAATGCACCAGGTCTGCCGAAATCACGTAACCCCCCCCCAGGGCGTAGGGCAGGTAATAGTCACACAGCACCCAGGCGCTCTCCTTCCACTTCCCACCCGATTTCACCCTCCCGCGGCCAGAGAAGAAGCCCCAGTAGAGGCGACGCGGCTCCTTGGCCCTCAGCTCGTCCACCAGCACATCCAAGCGCACGAAGGTATCGTCGTCAGCCTTCAGGGCGAACTGGAAATCCAGGTGCAGGTCCAACCAGACGTAGGCTGCCAACACTTTGGCCGTCAGGTTCTCGTAGGAGTCGCGCAGGCCGGGCAGCAGCAGCAGGTCCCCGTGCCGGCTCTGCTCCAGCTCCAGGCTGCCCAGCTCCTCCGCTCCCAACCCG